AAAGGGAGCAGCTCTCAGCTCAAGCCAACGGCTAGCTGCTTTATGGGAATCTGGGACTCTGCCTTCTGACTCTAAAGAAGGCAGAAACCCAGATTTTATATAAAATCTTATAATTTTAAAATATTGGCAACAAATTCAATTTAAAAATAAAAACTTGAGAAATGCAGAAGTTGTCTGTGGGGTGGATGTAGTCTACAGAGTGCCATTTTGAGACTTCTATTTCTGAACTTTTATTAGAAACAAGATAGCAAGCCAAGTACTATGCCAATATATTATGTCATTTCTTCTTCCCAAATGAGTGCATGAAGATGGGCAAAAAATAATCAGGGGTTACATTTGGACAAAAAATATCTGTTGGACAAAAACTAAACAGGGGTTGCACTTCAGGAATCACTTCAGGGCTCGCTGTCCTAGCCAGCATATCCAGAAACAGTGGCATTAGAAGGATGCTGATGGTTTTCAGAAGAAGTTGCATCTTCTCGTCAAGTCTGAACTGTCTCACCCCAGACTTAGAACTTGGCCAGATGTGGTCTGTTGTACTCAGAATACTCAGTGTGGCCAGTGGCCTTGCCTTCTTGGCTGCTCTCCTGCCTACCACGTTCCAACCACAATGGTCTCCAACTGCTCCCTCCGACAAACCAGACCCAGCTTGTCACCACTTTACAGCTTTGGCCTTTGCGGTGTTCTCTCCCGGTTTTTCAATGTCAGCTTCAATGATACCTCCTAGGATAGTTTCACTCAGACCATTGAGGGTAAAACAGGTCTCCACACCCATTCAAGCTAGTTCATGTTCTTCAGATCGATTATCCTTATGCGACACTATTCATTTATTCACTTACCTATTTACTCTTAACCCACTAGAATGAAAGTTTAAATAACATGAGGGCAAGGTCTTCATCTTTCTTTTTTACGACTGAATCCCCATGCATGCGGAATCATGGCTGGCATCCAGTAAGTGCTCAATAAATGTATTGATTATAAACACTATCAACAATAACTACATACAGAGCTTGTCATGTGCTAAGCGCTGCTCTAATTCCTTTACAACCTTTACCCATTTACTCATCTCCACAGCCCTGTGACGTAGTACTATTATCATACTCATTTTAAAGATGAGAAAACTGAGACACAGAGAGGTTAAAGCTATGCAGACAGTAAATAGCAGTTCTGGGATCCAGATCCAAGCCATCTGGCTCTTGAGTCCAACACCAGTGTTCACTTTCCAGGGTCCAAGTGGATCTTACACTGGGGCTGGAGTTGGGAGGAAGTGACGGCTGGATGAAAAAGAAATCTGAATACTCATATGCGAGTTTCATCCCTAAAAACAGAGAAGATTCCTTTCATCTGGCGTGACTGTGTGCAGCAAGATGGAATCATTTTGAAAAATACATTTCTAAGTTGTAATCTTCTTAAAGACATATATCCATAAGCCCTAATTATTCCCTCTCATCCTGTGTTTCTGCTGTGTTGATTTGCAAGATAAAGCCACAGGGCCACGTCTGTAACATCCTGATCTGTTCCAGGAATGCCTGTGATGAATCAAAATATTATTCTTTTAACAAATGAAGCAGTAAGCAGCAGGAGTTGAGTTATGAAGGACAATATTCAGAGAATGTTTAGACACATGATTAAATGACAATTTGGGGAGGAGCACTAGAAAAAGGAGATTGTCGACATCTGAAGAGATTTGTGTGTGGAGGTTGTGATGCTGCTTGCGAGTGAATGCCTGCGATGGAAGTCTACCTCTGTTTCCTGCTGTTTGGAGGAGTCTCACTTTCTCAATTTATATTCCTGACAGCCCTTTTTGTTCCTTCTAGTTACTGCCTTGGCACTTGACTAATCTACTTTTTCATGCATTAGGGTTGCGGGAGAATGCAAAAAAAAAATCACAGATAACATTTTATCAAAATGTCTAGATCCAGTTGGGTTTGTGGAATCAGACCTTATTCAAGACCTCCTTATGAAGCTTGTTCATCCTAGACAATGAAAACAAGACCTGGAATAATTTGATAGGCATTTTGATTAATGACTTGAAAAGTCACTATCAGTGGTTTACTTAAATATGTCTCGCTTCAACGCTTAAACCAGGAGTATTCATATTATTGTCCAAAAGATCAGATAGTGTAGCCAAAGTGCCTCACACAGTTCTGGGCCCTTAGTAACTGACGCTGCTGATGATAAATACAATGACAGTTACCAGATTCTTAACAGTCTTTTATCCCAGGTTAGAATGCAGAAGACATGCTGCTCTTATACTATTGCATCCAGACTTGCCTTAGCCCCACACTATCCCAAACACTGTTTGCATTTCAAAGGCAATGGGAGATGGCTTGCTTAACAATTTTAAATCAATTCACTTTGAATTCTCCTTTGAATTTCCAAGAACTGACTACCTACTGATGATACAGATGCTTGTGCAACTCAAATCCACATGGGCCCCCATCTCCACCCATGGCTACCATATGCCCCCTTGGCTGTGTTGAGAAGAAGTTCTCTGGTGCTCAAACCAATTTTATTCCTTGGAACCAGGGCTGGTTTCATGGGTGTTCAGCCTATGTTTGCACAGGATCTGTACTCAGACACGTCTCTGTTGTTTTATTTTATTTTATTTTTTGAGACAGGGTCTCATTCTAACACCCAGGCTGGAGTTCAGTGGCGCTATCTCAGTTCACTGCAACCTCCACCTCCCAGGCTCAAGTGATTCTTATGCCTCAGCCTCCTGAGTAGCCGGGATTACAGGGTGGGCACCACCGGGCCCGGCTAATTTTTTTGCATTTTTAGTCAATATGGGGTTTCACCATGTTGCCCAGGCTGGCCTCAAACTCCTGGGCTCAAGTGATCTGGCCATCTCAGCCTTCTAAAGTGCTGTGAATACCAGCATGAACCACTGCAGCTAGCCCCAAGTCTCTTTTATGTTAATACTCTGCTGTCACCACTTTGAAATTCTTAATAATTCATGAAAAGTGACCTTGCAAATTATGTAGCCAGTCCTGCTAGAAACATACTGAATACCTGATATGTAGAAACATAAACAATTTTATAAATTTGGAATTTTTAAAATGTTATCAAAGTATTTTGTAGTTCTGAAAAAAAAATCCCACTGTAAATAGTTTAACCAGCTCTTAGAAGAGTCTTCTGAAATCTCAGTAATTAGGATCAGAACTAAAATAAAATTTCTAATGAGATGAATTACCAAAATCCATTTGAAACTTGATTTGCAGAAGATGAGGCCTATGACAGAGAATATGGTGTTCTTAGGGACACATCTTATAGCTTCTATCATTCCTTCTGGCCTTCTCGAGGAGTTTGCCCAAAATGAGACAAACATCAATAGCAGAAAGAAAGGTTAGCTTTGGTATCATCAGGACATAAGAAAGATCATGAGCCCTAAGAAGCCAAGGGGACCCTTCTCCAAAGACCATTATATTTCCTTGTTGGCTTAGAAAGCCATGGCATGGCATGAAGCCCAGTCAACCTTACTTGCACTGATTGTCATGTCATAATCATTTTTAAATCCGAAATTCTGATTTTTAAGTAAGATATGCTTGCAGTTAGACAATGTTCAGGCATACAGAATAACCCAAATTAGTCTTAAAAAGCTTTATGTTTTTTTCTTTCCTCAAATAGAGGTCCTTCTGGGATTAGCATTATTTAGTGAACAGGTGAGAATGATGCATGATTAGCATATCCATTGTTTAGCACATTCAGGAGAATAACCTTAAGCACTTTAAGAAATATATGTGTGTAAAAACTCTGAGCTCTGTTTATGGTTTTAATGTGTTCAGAAAAGCTCTTTTTCATGGATTCTCCAAAGGTCAGGTTTTGTTCAGCCTATGTCTGCATTTTCACAAATTGAGAATTTGAGAACTCCAAAATAAAGAGGCTTTTCTATATAATGAATAAAGATGCTCAGTGGGAAGACTTCATAATACCCAGGTTATGACTCATTCTAAATGTCTGCTTTTGCCTTTTGCAGTGAAAGATGGCTCCATTAAGTTGGGACCTATTTTTTAATTACGAAAAAACAAATGCCTGATTGTTAGATGCACGTCAAGTTATAAAAGAAACCAAAGCTGCATTTGATCCCTTGGCCAACCCACCCACCTCTCTCTGCCACTAACTCTGTTCCTCCCTGCAGCAGATACCCAGCCAGGCCTTGCCCCCATGCCTGGTTCTCTCCCAAGGACTTCAGTCCCAGTGACAGGCCTGGAAGTCACCTTTGACCCACTGTCCTCTCCATCTTCTGTTCATGTCAATCTTTTCCCAAGTCCTACTAATTTTACTGCCCAGCACCACTGAGATCCATCCACCTTCCCTGATCCCTACCAGCTCTATCCTAGTCCAAGCCGTGACAGCCTCTTACTCAGACCACCTGCCACCATCTTCTACCTCTGAATCATCCTCCACACAATAGCCAAGGCAATTAAAACATGAAACTGATTATGCCACTCTCCAACTAAAATCCTTCAGTGCTTCCTCATTACTCTTAAGAAAAAGACCAAAACCATGTAAATGGGGTCCAAGGTCCTGCAGATTGAACATTGGCCATCCTCCTGCACCCTTGTTTCACCATGGACCAGCCTCACAGGGTTGCTTTGCCTTCTTTGAGAGCATCAGGTCCCTGCCATCACCAGGTTTTGCATTAGCTCTCCCTCTTCAGAGAATGCTCTTCCCCAAGATCTCCCCTCTTTATGACTCAAATCTTAGCCTAAAATACACTACTTCCTTGGAGAATCTTTCTAGGATTCCCAAGACCAGGCCAAGTGCTCACCTACATTTCCTCCCAGCCTGCCTTGCCTTCCTTGCACTTGAGGAATTTATAATCAAACATTTACTTGTGTGCTGGTTTTATAATGTGGAACTCCCCTTCTAGAGTGTGAGCTTCCAGGACTCTTGCTCTCCACTGTGGCTCTAGTGCAGCCCACGGTCTCAAAGGTTGAAGGTGCTCCATTGGCACATCCTCCACCCTTGAGTGAGGAGGAGGGAACGGGATAACTCACCGCGCTCATGAGCGAGTCCAGGACACTGACGGCAAATGCTGTCCCACAGGCAAAGGGCTGTGTGAGGTACAGTTCTGTATCGGGGTCATCATCGTCATCTTGGTCCAAAAACTGAACATTAGTATCGTTCACTAGAAAAAGCGTAAAATAAGAATTAGCTCTGAAGACCACACACAGGCAGCAAAGCCAGAGAAAGACCAGGCTACTGGTTTAGAAACACTGAAGTCACTGAGAAGGAAACAAAAGCATGGAAGAAGCTGTAGATGGATCTTTGGGTGAGGGGTGAGGGGGGCAGTAGGAATCAATGGACTGTTCCTGTGTCACTGTTTAAGCGTCTGAGACCTGGAGAGCAATGAGTTCGAGCAGGCTTGCTCCATGGCAGGCCGCTGGAGGACCAGTAGACTGTGCTGGCCAATCCTTTGGCATAGCTTTAGGACCATGACCCAAAAACACCTTCCAGTGTTTTTTGGTAACCAAGTCCTTTGAGAGATGGACATATTTCAATGATGAGCAGCCATGCTGGGATAGTCATTTTAGCCACAAAGAAAAGAAAGCAGCTTATTGGGAGTAAAGAGCACCAGAAGGGGAGCACAGCAAAGGCAGAGAGCAAGGAATTCACCCGCAGGCATAACCCACAGCTACCCACTGGGATTGGCCTGGGTAGTTCCCAGGGTCCCAGACCCTGAATCTAGGTCCACACCCAACAGGCCCTGTTTAATACACAGGAAACCCCAGGTGGGACGGATGCCTGGCTGTCTCCTGCTGCTTGCTGACAAGGACTTGCTCTGAATTTTGAGTTGCATGGGGACGCCGACATTCTCCCTTTCCCCTTCTAAACAGCTCAATCTTTATGTGCTTGCATTCAAGCAGATGCAGCGTTGGATGCTGTATTTCATTTCCATCTGAGGATTCCTCAAGGACTCCTCCCGCACGCACGTGCAGACTGATTAGTTGTGTCACTCAGATGTCTTTAACTTATTAAAAATTAAATGACAAATTAATTTCCATTCCCATCTTGGCTTCGGAAATTATCAGTTTTGCAGAGCAAGTAATAGGAGAAAAGTCAGTGGGTGGATGGAAGAAGAGGGGACTCACAGTTTCTGGGATAATTATTGTGCTTTTAGGAAGAGAACTGATGAGGTTTCCTTTCCCTGATTCCTTTCTAAATGTATCAGCAGCTAATTCTCTTTTCTAGAGTTGTTGTTTTAATTTTTTAAGCAACTTTCTTGATAACACTTCTTTTTTAAAAAAAACTTGTTTATTGTATGAAGCAGAATACTAGCATGAAAGGCTAGGCATAGAATTAGTATTTTTAAATGACACCATTTTGTTTCCCTAGACAAAGATTGTAATGGGGGAAAATCTTTGCTCTGTTCTTCCAAAATTGGTCATATTTTGGTCCCCATTATTTCAGCAGCAATTGAATTGTAGTCTGGTGGTGAAAGTCCAAAATCCAGGCTCTGACAACTGGGCTTCAGTCTAGCCACTGCTGCCAACTTCCTTGGGCAAAGCAATTTCATCATTCTACACCTTAATTTCTCTCTCTGTAAAATGGGGGAGTTATAGGAGCTCTCTCATGAAGCTGTCAGAAGGCTCATATGAATGGCATTGTACCCAGTAAGCCTGGCCCAGCATCTGGATCATGCCATGACTTGATAAATGCCAGCTGCTGTCATGACCTTCCTTCTGACATTAAATATCTGTTCACCCATTATAGCATGAAAATGCCCAGCTTCTCTCTGCCCCTCTTGGAAATACTGAATATCTTGCTCAGGGGTCTTTCAAGAGGCTTTTCAAGAGCTTTTCTTCACCTCCCTTCCCTTGTCCAAAGGGATTTTGTAGGCCACTATTTAGTCTTTCTGATTTGTGAATCAGAAAATGTCAACTGGAGACCACATATGGAAGAATGTGGTTTTAGTTACTTGTAATAACCACCAATGGTGTGTAGGACAATGCTCCAAAAAGCACAGCATCTGTGACCTCTTATCAGGAAGATGGGGAAGGGTTGGCACCAGACATGGAGACGAAGCGACTCCAAGTAGAGAGAGGGGACTCCAGATTGTCAGTGAGCTAGACATTTGGGGTCATGGGAAAAGCACTCCAAGAGACTAGCCAGGGTCCAGTGAATACCCTGTATATTGTTCTGAAATACCCAGTCTCAGAAGGAGAGCAAGCAGTGCTACCCAAAGTCTATTTCACAGAACAGTAATTATTTGGGTGCTAAGAGGTACCCACATAATTACCCCAAGGCGTATGTGGCCAAATACAATTGAAATCGTCAGGTGAAATGGCTTTAACACAGTCCTTTCTTGTGAGACCCTGAGGAGCCTTTGCTAACATCAACGGAACGTCTCCAAGTAGAGAAGCGTGGAACACACTACATAGCCTCAAAAGCTTGTGTGGCTTTGGTGCCCTCTGTGTCTCTTAAAATTCATTTTACTGGTCTGGTATAATGTGGAACACATCTCAAAACATGTAGGTAAATAGCATTTGTGGAGGATGTGGGAGGTGAAGTGGTCAGAGGAGGGTGGTCTGGCAGCTAAAGAAGCAGGGCTCAAGGCAGAAGATAGGGTGTTGTGAGCATCTGCAAGATTCTCTGAACACAAGAGAGAAATCTGGTGTGGGACAAAGCCTTTGGGAGAGTCAATGATACTAATCAAATGCCAGAATTCTTGCCTTAGATTTGGGGCACCAAGCTTCTCCTTAAGATCACCTGGTTAGCAGCACGTGAATTCCAAATACAAAATGAAATTCCTGGCAGTGATGATTCTGAAATACTGCTGTAGGTTTGTGAGATGGAGATGTTTAGATTAATTTGCCAACCAGAGGTGTGGACCACATGAGCTCTGGGTCTCTTATGGCCTTCCAGTTCTGAGGAGAGCAATCCAGAAACCTAGGGTTTTCAAACAACCATGCTGAACATGAAAAAGATACCCCTCCTATGGTTGGAAACAGAAGATAGTGTGATGCTCCTTGACCTGAGTGAATTTGTCCTGATAAACAGCTATATCTACAATAATGCGGTGCTGAGTGGTGGACAATTTATTTCTTAGTTTCTAGACACCTCACAAGCAAGATTACTGTGTTGAAAGCCTGCTCCCTTATTTTGAAATATATTTCTGGGCCAAGAAAATGGAGTGTTCGTTTCATTTGTGAGTCATGTGAAGGCAGGTGCTCCCACCTCTCTGTCTACTGCTTTGCTGAGCAGCACTTTTGCTGTCTCTATTTAGAAGATCAATCCCCAGTTCTGAGACCTGCCGCTGATGGGTACCCTTCATGGGGTTATTAATCAAGTCGTGGAAAAGTGGGGAGGAGCCTTACAAACACAGTCATGACCACAGGTCTTTATCTTCCACATGAGTCCATTGTGAATCTCCCAGAGAGGGTTTTGACCTGGGAGTGGGAGCCAGAGTGCAGAGCTGCACTTGGGTGTCTGTGAACCTTATCCTCTGCACCCTTCTTGAAATCTGCCTTTAGTTAAAAAAAAAAAAAAAAAAAAAAAAAAAACGGTTCCCCAGGGACCAGGTGTTTTTATGGCTTCAGAACCAAAGCTTCTGAGAAAGGCCCCAGTAAGGGAAAAAAAGGCAAATAAAGTCAGAATAAAGGAAAATAAACAGCTGGAGGGAAGGCGCCATCTTAGGTTTCTTATCTTAAAATTTTGATATTCTCCTTTGACTTTCTCTGAAAGCTGTGAAGACATGTCATTCAAACTGACAGCGTGTTGGAAGAGGAGTAGAAGGGAGAAGGCGGGAGAGCAGGGTGACAAAAAAGAAGTGGAGAAAAAAGACTCAGGCCAGAGAAAATGAATTAGAGCAAAGATGCTTTGGGAACAACTGCCAGGTCAGATGGGTGTGATCAAAGGTTTACGGATGCTGTGTGGGGAAAAAAATCATTAAGAAAGGCCAGAACAAGACAGTCGATTCCAACCAGAGCCACAAATAAAACACATTCAAAGCAGTGCCATGGGGTAGCCTTTCTGTTACAGCCGGTGAAATAAAAACAAGCCGATGATAGTTGGAAACACCAACAGCAGAACAAAAGGAGATACTGATGTGAAGGAAAACAGTGCTTCTTACCCAGTTCAGTTATCATTAGAATGTGCGTCCCACTGTTTTTTTCCTGATTGACTGAAACCAAAGGCAACTTGCCCGGTTTAGCTAATTGGATACAGCATTTAAGGGTTGGGGAAAGGGAGTGGAGGAAAGTACAGAAAAAGAAGAGAGTGAGGGAATAACAGAGGAAACATTCTCAAGTAAAAGGACCCCGGACCATAGGTAGTTTGTATTTTTCTGGGGGGAAGAGGCCGCTCTACAGTTTTGCAAACTCATTCATGGTAACAGGGAGTGCCATGGCCAGGTTAGAAGTTAGATTCTATCTTCCAACCAACATGACCCTCAAAACCCCATCATCTGGGGGGCCAGAATGGCATTTGCCGAAAATGGCTTTTGGCTGAGACATTCAACTACAATAGGTTCAATGTGGAGTTACTACACATTAGCCCAGGGTGTCTACCTCATTCTCAAAATGGGTCTGGCTTAGATCCAAGGCTTTGTCTATCAGTGGAGGGCTCAGACTGTTGGAGCTGTCCAGACAGAATGCTAGAAAGAGGTTCTTCCAGTAAAAATCACCGGAAAGAATCCATGAACTAAGCCATCCTCCTTTCCTCCCCATTCCCGACTGTATGCCCCAATCGCAAATCCATCATCTCATGCTCCTTTGAAAACAGTGACCAGCATGAAGGAAACTGTCTATTCATCCCAGAAGAAAGATAGATCAGTTTTCCGTTCCAGTAATCAGCCATATTTCTACTCATACCTTTCTCCCAGCTCCCTCAAAACAAACCCCATAGCACCTACAAGGTTGAAAGGGCTAAGAAAAAAACCAACCTCCTCATATCCTGTATGGTTTGAAAGAGAGAACAAAAATTCCCTCCAAAGCCGACATTGACCCCTACCTAGTTCAGTGATGATGGGGATGTTGACCCCAGTTGTGATGGACGGTTGACGTAACATCCCGTGCACTGGGCTGTTATCTGGAGAGGATCTATCCATTCCTGGAGGTGTGAACCCTAGTGGGAGAGAAGCAGAGGAAAAAGAAAAACCAAAGAAGTAGAACATTAGGAAATAATGAGAGTACAGTATATACACACAACCCCAAAAATGTAGCTTATGCATTATTCACAGGTCAGCAATTAGTACTCCCAAGATAAACTCTAATAAGTTATTCTTTAGAAGGACAAGGTAGGATACCATTATAAATAATCGTAACTAACTTTATAGTTCCCTTAAAAAAATCCAGACTCCACACAAATTATTTATTCTGCTCAGATTTTAGCTCCCTTCTCTTTCCAGGGACACAGAAGAACTATCCCCTGTGCCCCCTTAACGTTAGATATGGCAATGTGACACATGAAATGTTCTGTCCTATGAAAAGTGAGCACACCAACGCATATCACTGCTGGTACAGGGATTGGATGGCCGTCTCTCTCTTCCCAGGCCTTGGCAACTGTGAGAACACAAGTTACTATGGAAATGAAGGCTGGACAGCAGCCCTGGACAGTTGTCCAGACCCACAAAGCATTCTGAATGAGTGAAAAATAAAGCTGTGTTGCCTTAAGCCACTGAAATTTGTTTGTTGTTACCACAACATAACCTAACTCAGCCTGACTGTCACCAGAAACCAATCAATTGCTTATCCTCTCGCTGGTAAGTGACTCGGGCCTCAGTTTTCACAGAGTTCTGACCAATCAGAAGTGTGAGGAAATCTTCCTGGGGCTTTCAGGAAGTGTTTCCTTGCTCTTAAAAAGAAACATATAGGAAGAGATTCTTTTTTAATTTACTAAGCACTGTTTTATATGCCTGTAGTGCCAGGAACTGAGGCACCAGCTGAGGGCGTAACTAACTAAACTGTTAGTAAGATTGGCTGAATTGAATGACAGGAAGAACTGTCCTGGAGTTCCTAGGGAAAGCAGCCTGGAGCCATCTCACCTCAGGACTTCTCCCTACGTGAGATTTTATTCACACACACATGTATTTATACATATACATACACATAATATAATGAGATGTACATTTTTTTTCTTTCTAAGCTAAATGGAGAAGGAGTTTACTTGCATCTAAACCCACCTGACTGATGTATATGCCACCTGCTCATGGTTGATCCCTTGAACTTCCCAGGGTGCCCAGCACAGACCACATAAGGTATATGTGGGCACAGGAAAATTGGAAAGCAGCCTTCTTGGTCTCTGATTTTGCAGTTTGGGCTTCTTTGGGTCTCAGGTCCAAGTCCAGAGTGCATACCAGGATAAGCTTGGACCAAACTGTAACTTTCAGTTTACTCAGGGTGAGAAATATCCCGGCTAGGCATAATGACTGCCTCTTTAAGGTTTTGCATGGACACATATCAGTATTAGAAACCTATTTACCTCCTACATTCATCTGGTGAAAATTATGTTTTCTAATGAAGCATATGGCAACTCCATGCAAGTGGCAAGACCCAATAAGCTTACATTTAGACGACAGGCAAGCATTCACATTCACTGTGGTTTCTCATTTTTGCCCTCAGTGGAATGCTACATGGACTTTTCAATGAATTAGGGACTTTTAGGAAGAAAGTCACTTGCTAAATTTCCAAGGACAAAACTCCAAATAGATTACTATGTGACCAGATTCCTGACTCACTCACTCCCCAGCAATGTGACAAGATTGTGTTGAGTCTGGCATTTTGTCTAGGTGTAAGTCAGGAATGAGATACAGGAGCTCAATAATTGCCTCTTGTTTTGGAGGTGCATAATGCTTAAAATACCAGGGAAATATAAAAGGGTTTTCTTACTTTCTGCTCTCCTTTCTATACCTTTCTTATCATTCAGTGCCATACTTTCAAAAAGAAAAACAAAGTTTTACTTAATACCCATTCCCTGACGGCACTTAATTTGATTCTTTATATTAATATACTGTGAAAAGGAGGAGTCATTTTGAATGACACTGTAGTGTCCATCTTTTCAAACTTTGGAATATGTGTTTTTTAGCCATTCACATAACCAAAAACATGCATTTTTAAATGCTAGCTGTTTTCTTCCTCTAGGATAGCGAAGGAGAAAACTAAACTGTTTTCATCAGAAGTTTCAATTCAAAAGCATGAAAAACTGCAAGTGACAGCTGTGCAGATTCAGTGGATATGACGTTTTTGAATTTCTTCAACTTGACAAGTAAACACCTTAAATCGGTAATGCTATATGCATAATACATGGCCTGTATTTTGACATCCATCATCAAATGCTGACTTGAGAAAATACGGGTTTGTACGTCAAGGAATAGCACCCATAAAACAGGGAGAAATGCAGGTCACACGGTATTAGGAAAACTGTATTTCATTACAGAGCCCGCAACAAGCCACAGCATCCTTTTATTTTATCTTAGTTAAAGATTCCATTTTCAGCTGTGAAAAGACTCAATTCCTTTGCATGAAACCTTCATTTAGAAATGACATGCTTGCTTCATAGGCTTCTTTCATTTTGCTTTCATATTCCATTTTCCCCTTCAGTCACCAGGCCTGGTTCCATTAGCATCTGCAACTGACAAACTATGGTGGGTGTCCAAAGATATCTCTCCATTGACGGCCTGACTCTCCCCGACGCATGGCTCCCCAAAAAAGTACGCTTTTCTTGGCAAGAAAACTTCATGCCTCTTTTCATTTCCCTACTCTTCTAGTCACACATTTTTAAAAGCAAAAGGCAACAACAATGACAAAATTGGTTTCCTCTTTTTCCCTGGTGTAAAGTTATGCTAAAGATGAACATAATTTATTAGCATTGTTTCTTTCTTAGGGGTCCTGATATGGGAAAATTATGGTCAGAAATGACAGGGCTGCCCCAGATTCCCTAAATAGGCTTGGAGATAAGTTCAGGCATCTTCTATAAAGGGATGAGGCAATCTGGCCCTTGATGCCACAGGATGGTGTCCAACCCATTCATCATAGCTGCATTGGATAAGGGGACAGGTCTAAATTGTGACCCATTCTCTAACCGTCTTGCTCCCCTCCCCATTATTTCTTGCAGCCATGGCTGTATCATGGGTAGCACCCAAAATCTCTCTACATTAAACAGCGCCCTAGTTCTGTATTTGAAAGCACTGGCACATGGAATATACTACAGGGATCTACAGCTAGGGAGCAGTGAAACTGGGAAACGCTCCCTTCATTAGTTAAACTAACACTTGGGAAATTAATTTTAGAAACAACCACTTATTTTGCCAGAAAAGATGACTAAGAATATCAGCATTAGAGACATGGAATGAGAAGTCCTCAATCAGGAAGACTCAAGTTTAAATCATCCACAGCCGAAGCTACCACCAGATGGGCTCCTGATTCTTTAGCTATGCCTCCATAGCACTTTGTTGATCATGGCCATGAGAGGCAAGTTTTGTGCTAAAAATGACTTCCATATGTTTGTTGGCCATTTGCTTTAACATCACTAATGATCAGGGAAATGCAAATCAAAACCACAATGCAATACCACCTTACTCCTGCAAGAACTGCTATAATCAAAAAATCAAAAAACAGTAGATGTTGGCGTGGATGTGGTGAACAGGGAACACTTCTACACTGCTGGTGGGAATGTAAACTAGTACAGCCCCTGTGGAAAATAGTGCGGAGATTCCTTAAAGAACTGAAAGTAGAACTATCCTTTGATCTAGCATTCTCACTACTGGATATCTACCCAGAAGAAAAGAAGTCATTATTCGAAAGAGATACTGGAACACATGTTTATAGCAGCACAATTTGCAATTGCAAACTTGTGGAACAAACCCAAATGCCCATTAATCAACGAGTGGATAAAGAAACTGTGATACATATATCATATATGTGATATATATCATATATATATATATATATATATATATATATACATGAGATGGAATACTACACAGTCATACAACCATACAAAGGAATGAATTAACAGCAATTTGCAGTGACCTGGATGAGACTGGAGACTATTATTCTAAGTGATATAACTCAGGAAAGGAAAATCAGACATCGTATGTTCTCACTGATATGTGGGGGCGAAGCTATGAAGATGCAAAGGCATAAGAATAATACAATGGAGATTAGAGACTATTATTCTAAGTGATGTTAACTCAAGAATGGAAAACCAAACATCGTATGTTCTCACTGATACGTGAGTGCTAAGCTATGAAGATGCAAAAGCATAAGAATGATACAATGGACTTTGGGGACTTGGGGAGAAGAGTAGAAGGGGGAAAAGGGATACAAGACTATAAATATGGTGCAGTGTATACTGCTCAGGTGATGGGTGCACCAAAACCTCACAAATCACCAATAAATGTGGTATTTGGTTTACCACTAAGGTACAGGTGGTATTTGGTTTACTCATGCAACCAAATACCACCTGTACTTCAATACCCCAATAACTTATGAAAAAAATAAAAATAAAATAAAATAAATAACTTTGAGAGGCCACCTGATCTCCTTACACTGAAGTTTTCTCCCCACTCCAATCTTCAGTGGCTGATGTGGCAGTCTTTTGTTATCTGTTTTATTCATTTGGCATGAGGCATAAATGCCTTGACCAACTTTATCTCATGACACGTATTCTCATTCCATATACTATATAAGAACTTTAGGCCAGAGACTGGATTTTCATTTATTTGAACTTCCGAGATTATCTACACAATGTCCAGAACATAGAAAAGAAATAGAATGGAATAGCTAGGAGCATGGGCTGTAAAGTCAGGTGTCCTGGATTCAAATTCTGGTACCTCCACTTATGAGCCATGGCACTATAAGCATTGTGCAGATGCTCTCCAAGTATCTTTCTTCATCCATAAACCAGGCATACCTCCTACACAGGACCATTGTAAGGATAAAATAAAATAACGTATTCAAGACATTTAGTACAATACCTGGTATGAAGCGAGTACTCAAAAATGCTTGCTACCAATATTAATATTTTTAGGTAAACAATAAGTATTTATGGATCACTTCCCTTTCCCTAGGGATAAAGAACTGAAGAAGTATTTAGTAGACTTGAAAAAAAGAATTTTCACACAG